CCCCGATACAGCATCCCCCGCTTTACAACATCCCCCGGTAGAGCATCCCCTTCCCCCGCCCCCCGTTACTACACCCCTCCAGTACAGCATCCCCCCCGTTACTACACCCCTCCGGTACAGCATCCCCGCTGGTTACAGCCTCCCCGCCGGGTACCGCATCCTCCGGTACAGCATCCCTCCCGTAGAGCATCTCCCCCCTGCACTGTATCCCCCCCTCTACAGCATCCCCCGGCACAGCCCCCCGGTTCAGCCCCCGGGCCCCTGGCTGCACCCCCGGTAGAGCCCCCTCCCAGCCCGACAAGAGCATCTTCCCCCCCGACCCCCTCCCTGTTCCGGCCCCCCGGGTGCAGCCTCCAGCCCCGGAGCAGCCCCATCAATCGCTGGCCCCTCCCGCCGAGGCGCCCCCGCCCCGTCGAGCTGCACTGGGGGCCTGGAGGGCTCGGGGGGGGCAGCGGGTGTTTGGGGGGTGGATTTGCGGCTCTCACCCCCTCCCCAGGCTCCCCCCGCTATTACCAGCCCCTCCGGGGGGGGCTGTTTGATGCCCTCCCCCCGCCTGCTCCTACCCCACCTCCCCTCCCAAATCCTCCCCTCTTCCTGGGGGAGGGAACGGGGGTTTCTCCCCTGCCGTGTCATGGGGGGCACCTTCCCCTTCCTCTCAAGAGGGTGTTGGGAGCTGCTATGTGGGGGGGGTGTCAATTTATGGCCCTCTTTAGAGGTGCCCTCTGCTCCAGGGACAGCCCCCAGAGCTCCAAATAAGGGGGGGGCACAGGAAGATTTGGGGGAAGGGGCCTTTGCAACAGTCCTGATCCCCAATAGAAATGAGTGCTGCCCCCTGCCCTGCGCGTCCCTGTCCCCCATGGGCCCCCCCCGACTGCCCCCTCTCCCCGCAGCCCTGTCTCACCATGTCGGTCTCCAAGCTGCAGGACGTGGACGAGGTTTTTGGTGAGTCGCAGTGAGCGGTGCCCCCCTCCCACCAAAGAGACCCCCCCTTTGTGGGGGCTCAACCCCYGTCCCCCATCCCTCCAAGCCTCCCTACCTGCTGGTGACGAGGTGAGCAGGAAACTGGGGCTGCGAGGGACATGGGGACAAGGGGACACGCGCGTGGGAGCAGGGACCTGGGACACACAGAAGGACATTCAGACACAAGGGATATGTTGGGGAGGGACGTGGGGACACCTCTAGGGCACGTGGGGACACGTCTAGGGCACGCAGACGCCTGGGTGTGGGCACACGGCGGGGCACAGGGACACACACAGGGACACGGAGCCATGCACAGGGACACGCAGTGACGCGCGTCCCCTTGGGGCCACCCCAACTCCCGGGCGGCAGCACCCCGAGCCCGCGGCTGGCTCCAGCGGGGCACCGGGTGATTTGGGGACACAGGGACAAACCCCTCAGCGTGGGGCTGGGGGACATGGGGACCACCCCGGTGAGCGCCTGCGCTGGGGCAGCCTGGGACACGCACGGCCCGTGGGGACAGGGCCACGCTGTCCCCGGGGACGCCCCACGTGGACCRAGGTCCCCGCCGGCTCCTCTCCYGGCCCCGCTCGAGGCCGGGTGCCGGGCGCCTCTTTCAACACTTCTCTCTGTTCCTCTGTCCCTTGTCCACCTCCACCGGGACCCTCTTTCTCCCCGATGCTCCCCTGTCCTCTCCCCACCGGGCTCCCTTCTCCGTGCCCTGATGCTCTCACCCTGTGTCTGTGTCGCTCTGCTTCCCTCCCCTCTCCGCTGGGCCTTCCCTCCGTGTCCGTGTGTCCATCCCTCCCTCCGTGTCCGCCTCCCTCCATATCCGTGTGTTCATCCCTCCCTCCATGTCCGTGTGTCCATCCCTCCCTCTGTGTCCGCCTCCCTCCATATCTGTGTGTTCATCCCTCCCCATGCCCCGCCTCATCCATCCATCCCCACCTCCCCCTCGGTTTGTCCGCGTCCCGCTCCTCATCCTCCCGCGCATCCGTCCCCGCCGCCGTTCCCGTCCGCCTGTCCTCCTGTCTCTCTCTCTCTGCCCCGGTCTCTCTTTCACCCCCAGATTTTACCGCTGTGGTTCCAGAGACGCCGCGGCTCGACAGCAGCCTGCACAAGGCCCGTGCCCGCCTGCTAGCCAAGGGCCGGCGGCAGCGCCCGTCGCGCTCCCGCCTGCGAGACAGCGCCAGCTCCACCGAGGGCGAGGAGGGTCCCGAGCGCAGGGTGAGCGCGGGGCCYCGCCGCCACGGGGACACCGGGGGGGCATAGGGAAGGGGGGACAGGTGGGGCCGGGCGGGCCCTGGGGGGGGGGTCTCCAGGTTTGACACCCCCTCAACTCCCCCTGTGCCCCCCAGGGAGGCGAGGGCAGCGGCAGCCCCGCGGCCGGCGGCCGCTCGTCCCCACCGCCCTTCTCCGGCGGCACCGAGTTCTCCTTGGAGGGCGCGCGGCGGGCGCCGGGGGAGCCGCCGGGCCCCTCGCCGCCCCGCGGCCGCTACCGGCCCCTCACCAACGCCTCGTCCCAGGAGGGGCTGGCGGGCAGCCCCTCGCCCAAGTCCTGCCCCAGCTCCGACAGCTCGCCCGGCTTCGCCCGCCGCGACGCCCGGCCCCAGCGGCACAGCGAAGGTGGAYGCGCGCGCCGGGAGGGGGGTCCCCGAGGCCGGCAAAGCCGCCCAAGGGGGACCCAACGGTGGGCAGGGGGCAGYGGGTGATGCCCCCTCTCCTGCAGATGACAGCCGGGACATGAGTCCCCCCGAGCCGGCCAGCCCCACCGTGGGGCTGGACAAGAAAACACGCAGGAAATTCCTGGATCTGGGGTGAGTGGCAGAGGGAACATCAAGAGGAACAGAGGGAACAAGAGGGAACAAGAGGAGCAGAAGGAATGGAGAGGGACAGGAGGGAGGGATGGGGAGGTGGAGCAGCGGATGGGAGGATGGATGGACGGATGAGGGGTGCACAGGGAGGCACCAGGCGGGCGGCCCGCAGCGGGACGTGGCCCTGGGTCCAGAGCCCGCACCCCAGGGTGGCTCCCTGTGCCGCAGGGTGACCCTGCGCCGGGCGTCCTCCAGCAAGAGCAAGAAGGAGAAGGGGAGCAACCGCCTGTCCATGGGCGGCAGGTGAGGGGCGGCCGGAGCCCACCACAACCTGGGGATGGGGCGGGGGGCCGGGGCGCGACCCCCACGTGGCTCTGTCCCTAGGGACGCGGGCGAGGGCTCTGGCCGCCCCGCGGGGTCGCCCTTCCTGCCCTTCTCCTGGTTCTCGGACAGCGCCAAGGGCTCGGCCTCGCCGGGCGCCGCGTCGCCCGCCGGCTCGCCCCGCYGCGAGGCGCTCAGCCCTGCCAAGTCCGCCTCGCAGGTCAGTGCCCGACGGGCCCCCGACGGGCCCCAGAGGACAGGGGAGCTCTGGGGGGGTCAGGACGCCGCTGGGATTAGGAGCACCTATGGGACTAAGCCTAGGGAAGCAGCAGGGCTGGGTGCCTATAGGAGCGGGTGCCAGAGTCCTGTAGTTGTTGCAAGCTGCCACCCCGGCAGCTCCATCTCCAGGTGAGGAGGAACTTCACTGTGAGGGTCACAGAGCCCTGGCACAGGCTGCACGGGGAGGCTCCTGCTCTGGAGGTCTCCAAACCCACCTGGATGCCGCCCTGTGCTCTTGGTGTCCCTGCTGGAGCAGGGGGTTGGACTAGATGATCTCCAGAGGTCCCTTCCAACCTCARCCATCCTGTGATTCTATGGGTCAGGAGAGCTCTGGAGCGGGGCAGCAGAGCCCTATGGGGGTAGACAGCCATAGCGGGGAGTATCAGACCCCCCAGCTCTAGGGACAGGGGGGTCCAGGCGGGCAGGGCGCTCCGGTGCGGGGGGCTCCCCACGAACCGATTCCCTCCCCAGGAATCGACGCTGAGCGACGACTCGACGCCGCCGAGCTCCAGCCCGCGGCTGCCCGGCGGCGCGGCCCCCAAGTGCTCCTACCCCTACCACACCTTGTCGCAGTCCTCGGACGAGGTGAGCGCCGGCACCGCGCGCCCGCCGCGGCCCCGCTCTGCTCCCCGCCCGCTCATCCTGCCCCCCGCCCCGGCTCAGTTCCTGGACGAGCCCCCCGGCGCCGCGGCGGGCTGGACGTGCCAGCAGGTCGGGCAGTGGCTGGAGAGCCTCAACCTGGAGCAGTACGTGGAGGAGTTCGCAGCCCACGGCGTCGATGGCCCCCGGCTCCTGCACCTCGATGGCGCCAAGCTCAAGGTATGGGGGGGTCCCTCACCTCTGCTGGGGGGCGTCGGGTTCTAGGTACTGAGCGGGCACCAGGCAAGAGGTTCTAGGTACCCCAACAGGTTGGGTGCAAAGCAACAGGTTATAGATGACCCAAGGGGCTCCAGGTCAGCACAAGAGGTTCTAGGTACCCCAACAGGTTGGGTGCAAGGCAAGAGGTTACAGATGATGCAAGGGGCTCTGGGTCAGCACAAGAGGTTCTAGGTACCCCAACAGGTTGGGTGCAAGGCAAGAGGTTGCAGATGATCCAAGAGATTCTGGGTCAGGACAAGAGATTCTAGGTACGCCAACAGGTTGGGTGCAAGGCAAGAGGTTATAGATAATCCAAGGGGCTCTGGGTCAGGAAAAGAGGTTCTAGGTACCCCAACGGGTTGGGTGCAAGGCAAGAGGTTACAGATGATCCAATGGGCTCCGGGTCAGGACAAGAGGTTCTAGCTACCCCAAGGGGCCTGGGCACCGAGCAAGAGGTTCTAGGTGCCCCCCTGGGCAGGAGYGGTTCTAGGTACCCGGTTATGCTCCCACAGGACAGATCAATCCCGCAGGAAGCTCCGGGCAGCAGGAGGGTGGTTCCAGGTATCCCAACCCTCCCATCAACGGGGGTAGGAGGCACATGGGGGGTGGCTCTAGGTGCCCCCAAGGGCTGAAGGCGGCGGGTTCAGGCGCCCCAACAAGAGGATCCACATGAAGGGGTGCGGGGCAGCGGGAGGGAGGTGCGGGGGGGGCCGGGCAGGGCCCCCTCGTGTCCCCGCTGAGGGTCCCGCGTGGGGCAGGCGCTGGGCGTGGGCAGCGCCCAGGACCGGGCGCTGCTCAAGAGGAAGCTGAAGGAGCTGAGCGTGGCTGCCGAGCGGGAGCGCAAGGCCCAGGAGAAGGYGGAGAAGCAGCGCGAGAAGCAGAGGAAGAGAGACCAGGAGCAGCGCAGGAGCTAGCGGGGGGGCCCGGAGCGCCCCAGCACCCCCTGCAGCCCCCCGGCATGCCCGGGGGGGGCGGCCCGCTACCGGCACCCACCGACCGCAGCGAAGGGACCGCGGTGCCACCAGGCCCGGACGAGCACAGAGCGACGTGTCCCCCCCACCCCCCTCCCCGCCTGCACCCCCCCGCCACGGGCACAGACCGGGGCCTGGGCCCCTTTTCCGGATGCAAACGGCACGGCAGCCCCCCCCCAACCCCCTTCCTGCACCCCACAAGGCCCGGGGGTCCCTGACACCCCCATGGTGGCATCGGCCAAGGGCAGCGCGTGGCCTGGCCCCCCCCAGTGCCCCCCCCAGTGCCCGTCACCCGAGGCGGGGCGCATGGAGCGAATGCTGATCCCCCCCCTCCCCAATTCCCTAAATAAACCCGGCCCACGGTGCCAGGGGGGGCACCCAGGAAATAAAAGGTAACGAGGGACAGTGCAGAGCAGCGTAATGGAGTGCGCCCCATGGGGAAATGGGGGGCTCCTCCGTGGGGAGATGGGGGGGCTCCTCCGTGCCAGGCTAGGGGCACCAGGAACACGGGGACAGGGTCCAGCACGTGGCCACGGCCCGGCTCTCYGTCGCCAGGGCGGGCAGCCTGTGCCACCAGTGTCCCCCATGWGCCACCAAGTGCCACCAGTGTCCCCACGCGCCACCGTGTGACGGTGCCCAGGCTGGGGGGGACGCTGCAGCCTCTTCCCAAGCCTGGGTGACCCTCGCGGCACAGAGCAGCAGTGACTGGCATGGGACCCCGGGGATCCCAGCGCCCCGGGATGGGACATTCCCCCCAGGAGCCACCTCCCCATTCGGGGACCAGGACGGCGCGTGGGGGGTCTTGGGGCCCCAAAAAGGCACAGGAGGAGCTCAGTCAACATCCACTTTAGTGACAGCACTGGGAGGGGACGGGGGGGCGCGATGCCCGGGCAGGTCCCATCGTGCTGCGGGGAGCCTGGCCGCGGCCCCCCCGGTAAGTGCAGCTCATAGTGCAAGAGGGGGACGAGCAGGGGGCTGGGGGGGACTGGGGGGCGCTGTCCTTGTCCCCTCGCCCCAGCGGGGCCGCCGGGGCAGGGAGGTGCTGTGGGCAATGCTGGGAAGGGCCAGCGCCTGCCCCCCACCCCTGGGTGCCCAGGGGTCACCCCCCGCCATGGGGGTCTTGGCGGGGGGGCAGGAGGGCGTCCCGGGGGAACCAGGCGCACCCATAGGGCACCTGCCACGTACCAAAGTGCCACCAAAGCTGGGGGGGCTGAGGGACCCCCGCCAGGCTCCCCCCCAGCACCCCGCGYTCCACACACAGCCCGGCGAGCCCCAAAAAAGCCACCCGAGATGCAGCCAAACCCGGGCTACTAAAACCATGCCCGCCTAAAACACACAGCCCACGGTCGGGGGGTGCATGGGGGGGGTACATGCGGCACCCCCCCAGCCCACCCCCTGGCGCGGGGGCGGCTCCAGCGCCCCGGGGGCAAAGCKCAGCCTAGGGCACGCGGTAGGTGGACGTGTTCTTGGGCTCCGTGCTGGGCACGCACCAGTCGCCCGCCTCCTGGCTCGCCTGGTAGTGCCGCCACGCCGACTTGTTGTAGACGGGCAGCCGCTCCACCGAGTCCGTGGACAGCGCCTGGGCAAGGGGGGGATGGCAGATGGTTGGGGAGGGKCCCGCGGCCCCCCGAGGGGTCCCGTGGGCAGAGGGAAGGGGATGGGGCAAGAGGCACCTTCAGGTAGATGACGGCGTCGGTGCCGAAGCCCTCCATGGAGTAGAGCTGCAGGTCGCCCTGGAAATACTTGGCGTAGAGGCGGGAGATGGGCAAGCCGTAGCCGAAGCCAGCCTGCCGGGGCGGGGGGCACAAGGACCTTAGGGGTCTCTCAGGTCTGTGCCCGGCCCCCGCRGATGTACCCACCATGTCCCCGGATGCCACCACGTCGGCCCAAGCAGCCCCAGGAGACAACGCRGCGCCTCCAGGCATCCCCTCCATGCCACTGTGCCATTCCCAAGGACATTGTGAGACCCCCCAAACATCTCTGTGGCACCCCTTGGCGTTGGCATGCCACCTCCGGGGGTCCTAATGTCACCACGCCACCTCCGGGGGTCCCAATGTCACCATGCCACCACCATGACACCCAGGGGGTCCTAATGTCACCATGCCACCTCCAAGGGTCCTAATGTCACCATGCCACCACCATGACACCCAGGGGGTCCTAATGTCACCACGCTATCTCCAGGGGGTCCTGATGCCACCATGCCACCTGCAGGGGTCCTAATGTCACCGTGCCACCTGCCACCACCCCCAGGCCAAGCCCCAGCACCCCTAGGTGCCCCTGGTTCCCCCCCAGCAGCCCCCCGTAGGCCGTGGGGACCCTCCGGCACCTACCAGGGGGGCGCCCCCCGTGCCCGGCTGCGGGGTGGGYGCAGTGGAGTACAGGTAGCTGAAGAGCCGGTCGATTTTGCGCAGGGGGACACCCATGCCCCGGTCRCTCATCTGAAAGAGGCCGGAGGGCAGCAGAGCTCCACAAAAGCGGGGGGCTCCTGGGCCCCTCCAGAGCTCCCCCCCGCCTCAACACACCGCGGCACCCCGCGGGGGTCCCCACGCACCTTGATGGAGAGGTCTTCCTGGCCCAGGGCCACCATCACCTTGATGGCCGGCAGCCGCGGGCTGCTCTCGTGGCTCTCCACCGTGGCTCGCATGGCGTTCTGGGGGGGCCCCGGGCGGTCATCAGGGGGTCCCCATGTTCCCCCCGCCGGCCACATTGTGCCACCCTCGGGCAGCGCCGCGCAGGGGCTCACCTTGAACAGCTCGAAGAGCATGTGGTAGAGGTGCGAGGGCACGTAGACGATGCTGATGGGCTGCTCGGGGTGGTTGGCTGCGCGGGGCAGAGCGGCCGTCAGCGYCCCGGGGAGCCCCCCGAGCCCCCCGGCACCGCGGCCGGGCCTCACCGTTCACCTCCTCGATCTGCAGCTCCGGCGAGGCCATGTAGTACTTGTCACACAGCAGCTTGGCCATGTTGTAGGCGTCTGCGGGGGGGAAAGCAGAGGGGTCAACCGGCCCCCTCCCCAGCACGGAGGTGGATTTGGGGCCCTCCTTGCCCGCAGACCCCCAGATTTCCTGCCCTTCTGGAGACCCACGGAATTCCYGGCTTCCTCCGGAGCAACCTCAAGCCCCAAGGGAGCTCAGGATGGGCTGAGACCCGCCCAACTCATGACACCGGCCGCTCCCAACCGGGAAGACCCAAAGGAAAAGATTAAGGACCCCCTCCCATAGCGGGGACTCCCGTGGCGCCCCGCACACCTCTCACGACGTCGGCCACGCCGCAGTGCGGGTCGATGCTGCCGATGTGCTTGGGGTGCGCRGGGTTGGTGCTGCCGTCGAAGAGCAGAGCTGCGGGGAGAGACGCGGGGAGACCCCAGCTCTGCAGCCCCCCCCCCACCATTGGGCTTCACCATCCCCTCCCCACGGGGACACGGGGGACAAGGGCGGGAGCATCTCGGGATGTCCGGGCAAGGCGGATGCTCGAGGGGCGCCCAGGGGCTGCAGGGACCCCGGGGGCGGCGGGGAGGCCCCTGGGGACACCCCTGGGTGCGGGGGATTTGGGGGATGCGGGGCTCACTGTGCTGGTTGAGGAGCATGCGGATGGAGATGCGGCTCAGGTAGAAGCGGTCCAGGAAGTACTGGATGTTCTGGTTGGACACGGGGTCGTCCCCGTAGGCCTCCTTGTACTCGATGACGCCCTGCGCCATGGTGGGCACCACGTCGTTGTGCCGGTTGCGGATGGTGACCAGCGCGTCCGTGAACCTGCCCAGCAAGGGGAGCTGAGGGGGCAAGCCCGGGCACCCAGTCCGGGCAGGAGCCCGGAATCCAGGCCGGGTTTCCCCATGGGCTGGAACAGGGAAAACCCGGGACGGATTCCGCTGGATGCTCGGGGACCCCCTTTGCCCACCCAAAGGGGCAGGCTGGCTCCGAACCGCGGTGCAACACGCCAGGACATGGGGACAAGGGCAGCGCTCACCGGGGCCAGCCCRCGAGGAGGTGCCACCCCAGGGACGTCGCCAGGACGCTGCCTCCCCCAACTTACTGTCCCAGGGTGGCCTGGTCCTCGGGGTCCCTGTCGAGGAATTCCATGATGTCCAGCAGGCTCTGGACGTACCTGCGGAAGGAGCCGGTCACCCCCTGCCCGGGACCCCCTGCCCAAGACACAGGGCACCCCRGGCACCGCAGGGCGCAGGGTGCCCCCCAAGGCGCTGCCCCATGCAGGGAGAGGGGGCTCGGCACCCCACAAACTGCAGCACCCCACCCTGAGCTTGCAGGACCCCCCAAGGTCACCCCAGTGCCTCCCCCAGCAAGGACACAGGGATGGGAGCAGCCGGGGGGCACAGCCCCACTGATGGGTCTAGGGGCGGCTCAAGGGGGGGACATTTGGGGACCCCCCCCAAGCGCTGCCAGCCCCGAGGGGCTCCGGGAGGGGGGGGTCTGTCCGTGTCCCGCCTGGCAGCGGCTGCAAACGCTGCTGCACAAACAACTCGTCACGTGGCCGCACTGGGATAAGGTTCAAGCTGCCGCCAGCTGGCAGGGGACACAGCCCTTAAAGGGACATCCGGAGCCCGGACCCCCCCCCACGGGGCTGGGGACACCCTGTCCAGCTCCTGGTGTCACAGTGAGACACCCGCCCTGTGGCACTGTCCCAGCCTGGTCCTTCYCCATGGCCCCCCGCCCCAGGAGGTCCAAATGCTCCTGGATGTCCCGGGAGGAGACTCAGCAGCCGCGGTGGCACCGGGACCCATGCAGGTGACAGCGGTGGCACCTGCCGTAGCAGCAGTGGCACCTGCAGTGACAGCAGGACCCACGCAGGTGACAGCGGTGGCACCTGCGGAGGTGGCACCAGCAATGGCAGCTGGGTCCCCACAGGTGGCCGTGGCAGGACCCATAGTGGCAGTGGCGCGTCTCTCCAAGTTGGTGGATCTACAGTGGCACCTATGGGTGCCAGCGCTGGGCCCCCCAGGAGCAGTGACGATGATGATGATGATGACGGAAGGTGGGCAGGTAGCACCGGCGGGCGCTGCGGGGGGGACGGCACCCATGGGCGCTCACCAGCTCTGCACCAGCTGCACGGAGGGGGTGCGCAGCACGCGGTCGGGCAGCAGGTTGATCTCCTTCATGATGTTGGAGAGGCGGACGGGCAGCTCCTGGCGCAGGAAGGCGAAGGACGTCTTCTCACAGGCGTTGCTGGAGCCTGCGGGGACATGCGTGTGTCACACTGCGTGGCCACGGGGACAGCGGAGGGTCCGTGGGGTGACGTGGGGACAGCTCGGTCCACGGGGACCACGGAGGGTTCGCAGGGTGACGTGGGGACAGCTCGGTCCACGGGGACCACGGAGGGTTCGCAGGGTGACGTGGGGACAGCTCGGTCCATGGGGACAGCAGAGGGTCCGTGGGGTGACGTGGGGACAGCTCGGTCCACGGGGACCACGGAGGGTTCGCAGGGTGACGTGGGGACAGCTCGGTCCCGGTGCCAGCGGGTGCGAGCAGGAACGGGGGGCACGGGGAGGGCAGGTCCCTGTGCTCAGCTAAGCAGGGACCCAGGGCAGGGGACAGTGGGGGACACAGCAGAGCCCCCAAGGTGCAGCCCAATCAGCCCCATTGAGCCCAAACTGGGAGAAGAGGCTGGAAGTGCCCGGGCACCCTCAGTGCGGGGGGCACCAGGCAGYGGGACCCCCCGTTCCCGCCCGGAGCCGGGAGCCGCAGCCCCCGTGCCCGGGCACAGCTGCGGGTGACAGCGCCCGGGGGACGCGGGTAAATATAGCGGTGACCTTAGAGCAGCCGGCAGGAGCGGGGGCCGCGCGGGAAGCAGCTGCAGACCCCGGCGAGGGGCGGCCAGAGCCCCACGGATCTCCTGCCTCCTCCGGGTATTTACCCGGGGTATTTCCTGGCGGGCATCACCAGGGCTGGGGAGAAACCCTGGGCTGGGTATTTACCCACCTGTAAGGGATGTCTCTCCTGGACAGCGCAGTCAGGAGGGGAATACTCACCCGGGTGAGTATGGCAGAGGCTGTGCACAGGGGTATTTACCYGGCAGGGGTGCAAGGGGCCAGGAGATGCCATGGCTTCAGCAGAGAGGTTTCCAGGCGGTGGGTATTCACCCAACCGGGTGTAATTACCCGGGTTGTAATTACCCAGGGGGTATTTACCCGGGTAAGCATCAGCGGGGGGCACCCATGCCTCGCACAGAGGTGCTCGCTCAGGACAACCACAGGGCAGGTATTTACCCAGGGTGGTATTTACCCAGCTGAAGGCATTTCCCCAGCAGAAGTACCTCCCCGCAGGCAGCTATAAGGGGGTAAAATCTTTCCACAAGCGGGTGTCTATSTAGAGACAACTGGGGGAAAAAAAATCTGTTTCCGAGGCAAACCCGGTTATTTATAGGGAGTCTCTCCCCAAGGGCAGCGCCGAATAACCAGCCCCTCAACCTGGGTATTTATGAGCGTGGTGAGCGGGGGTTGACCGSGTATTTACCGGGTGGGGATGTGGCGTGGCGGTACCTGCTCAAAGCAGCCGCAGCCCCGGGTATTTACCGAGGATGGGGTGTTACTCACCCGGGGGCGGGTGTTTTCCAGCCGGGAAGGGGGGGAATGTCTCCTTGCGGGGGGCGGGGCCCAGGAGCGCGGCCGAGCGCACCGCGGGGAGGAGGCGAAGGCAGGGGGGTATTTACCCGGGGGGAGGTGGTGGGAAGCGGGTATTTACCGAAGTCCAGGAACTGCTTCATGGAGAGCGGCGAGGGCGAGAACTTGCTGAAGTGCTCGATGTAGGTGGGCACGCCGGCCAGCGCCGCCCGCTTCGCCAGGCACCGCAGCAGCCGCATGGCCCCGCTGCGGGCCCGGCCCGGC